CCAGCCCTGAAGTCAAAAAGACCTGAGTTCAAATTCAGCCTTAGACACTAGCTGCGTGACCCTGGGCAAGACACTTAACCCTGACTACCTCCAAAAAAATTTTAAAAATAAAAAAGAGGTAGTAAGACCAAAAAGGAAGTTGCATGTGGCTGCCAAAAATGTTAATAAAGTTAGAAAGTGCTAATGCAGTGGGGATAGTAATAACTCCAGAGCTGAAGCCCCACAAAGCAGTTTGCCAGGACACCTCTATAAAGGGACCTACTCACACTGTGTTTAGCACAGTGCCTAGCACATAGTAGCATGTAAAGAATACAGAATCAAGGAATCTCAGGATCTCAGAGATGGAGGACATCACAGAAAACCATCATATAATATACATTAGATTGCATTTTTATCTTGTCAAATGTTTCCCAATTTCATTTTAATTCTCTCCCCCCATCCATCACTCAACACCTCTAGTCTAGAATAGTCCTTGTATTCTGTGGGCACTTGAAACGCTTCAACATGAAAATAAAGAAGACTCTGAAATAGCAGAGGAGAATCCTGAACTATTTCAGGAAGCTCAAGAGTAAAAAAACATATGACAGGAAAAAAAAGACCACTGAACATTTGGAGTATTAATAAATGATTGTGATTGATTAAGCGACAAGTACAAGTTTCTTCCCAAAGAGAAGGGAGTTGAACCCTGCTCCTCCCTAGGAGGAAGCACCTGTTTTTCTACCATACCTTGATGATATGGATCTAGAGGTACCATTAGGTGAGAGATCATACAGTAGGGGTCAGGGAGAAAGAAAAGTGAGAGTGGAAGAGATATACTCTTTTCCTGGGTCATGTTTTCAGGACCTTTTGTTGTTCAAATGTTTCAGTCATTCTTTGTGACCCCATTTGGGTTTTTCTTGGCAAAAATACTGTAGTGGTTTGTCATTTCCTTCTCCAGCTCATTTTACAGATTAGGAAACTGAGGCAAACAAGGTTAAGTGACTTGGTCACACAACTAGTAAGTGTCTGAGGCCAGATTTGAACTCACAAAGGTGAGTCTTCCTAACTCCAGGCCTGGCACTTTATGCACTGCACCAGCTAGCTGTTCCTTTTCAGGGCCTGATTCAGAACATCCCAAAACTTGTCAAACCAGATGAATACTACCCATTCTGTTTATTTATATGGGCACAAGTGATACCACTAGAAAGAATCTAGGAATTGTAAAGATTACAGTCACAGACTAAAAAGTGAAAGTCTTAGGAGCACAAGCATCATCTTACACCAGTGCTATCAAACTCAAATAGAAAAGGTCACTAAACCATACATAAAGATCCCTGTTGGCCATATATTGACTTAGAAGGCCACACATTAACATTATCTATGTTCTGCTGTATTTTTATATATTTTGGTAAATGTTTCTCAATTATTGCTGACAGTATTGCAGCTAAAGTCTACCTTTTTTATGCCTCTGGTCTAGGTCTCTGCTGCAAGGGTTTCAAAATTTAGGAAGTGTTATTTGAATGCAGATGGAAACTTTTTCTTTATATGGTCAGCGCAGGAATTTGTTTTGCTTGACTACACATTTGTAACAGGATTTGTTTTCCTTGCTTTCTCAATTGGAGAGGACAGGTAGGAAGGAGAGAACAAAGACCCGAAAATAAAATAAAATTCCATTTTTTAAATAGGTGTTATCTGAGAAGATTATTTTAATTTCTGACTTAAAATATAGTAATTGTAGGTTCCTGATAAAGTGGAACGCACTTAACAAGAGCTAGAAAGAATATATTTGCCCAGATAATTGAAAAGGTAAAGAGAAAAAAGTGTCTACAACATCAGAAAAAAGCATTAGAGATGGCCAGAAATTCACAAGAGAAAAACTCAGAGAAAAAGTAAACAATAAAACCTACATCTTAAGATACCTGTGCATAAATGCAACAAGTATGGGTAACAAATAAGGTGAACAAGACCTCTACATGCAAGGAAGCACATTTGCACTTACAGCTATCATGGAGACTGGGTAGGATGAGACACATAACTGGGATAGGGAATCTAAAAGTGCAGAGTTTTTTTTAAAAAGAAATGAAAAGAAATAAGTTTGGCAAAAGGGTGCAGGTGAATAGAATTAAATATTAAGTATATTAACTGAAGGAAATCCAGGTACCAGAGAAGGGATGCATGATGGGAAAGCATGTAGGGGAAGATCAAGGAAAGCAAAAATGAAACTGTTATCATCAGTTTATATTACAGTCCACCTGGACAGAAATGGGTAAAAGATCCAAGATTAGGATAGAGATCACAAGTCTGGAAGAAGAATAATGGGGATAGGAGATTTCAAATACCTGAAGATCAGCTAGAGGTCTCTTCCTGCCCACAGCTGAACGCTAATAATTTCTTGATTGGCCTTTGTATGGAAATGGGGAACATGGCAGACAGTTTGTACTGAACTGGCATACAGCTCAAAAGCCAAGTAGTTTTTGTTGTTCACCTATACTTAATAAAGGCAGGAATGTAGACCAGAGAGGTAGAGAAAAATAACCTTGCTTTTTCAGTTTAGCTTTTGTTCTCATTCAACTTCATTTGTAAGCAAATAAGAGAATCCTGGGAGTCAAATGGGCTCAGTAGCCCCAGCCTTCACACAGTACCTCAAAGTTGGTTGCTCTGAGGGACAGTTTTTGGGAGGCATCAAAATGGTTTGGGGCAAACAGGATAAAATGGGAGTAATCAGAAATTTCTAAGCCTAAGTCAAAGAGCTGGCTGGGACCATAGACTTCAATTCAGTACCAGATACCAGCAACAAAAATAAAAACGTGGTTCATGGGAAGGTAGTTCAGGTCTGCATCATCCTGCTTGAGGTATCTTGTTGACTGTGACCATGCTTGGTATTTCCTTTGGTGGTGGGGAGTCAGTTTATCATGAAGGATGTCTGTGCTGAAACGCCTATTCTACGCCCAGGGCTCATTTCTGATATTGAGATCATTCTTGAGACTCACGCTAGAGACATGCTTGCAAACATACCTAAGGTCGTGTTTATAAACCTCAGTCATAAATTAGGTGTAGTAGATGCTTCAACAACCATGTTTCACTGCTTTCAGGAGCAAAGAGAAACCTCAGAGATTTTTATAGGAGAAACCAATAGGTAAGGCACTAAAAAGTGGCAAAATCTATATACAAGCATACAGATTTCCAAGGTTTCCTATTTCCTATTCTTTTGCCCTTCCTGTTCACCATTTCAGGCAGCAAGAAACAGACACAGGGAGTCAGACTAAGGCTCCCTACCTGCCTTGTGGACAGGCAGTAACAGACTTTGGTTGTTGGATTCAGGGGCCCCACATTTCCTCTGAATTCTCTTGAGGCATGTCTACACAACATATATACATACACACACACTCTCTCTCTCTCTCTCTCTCTCTCCTTTTATTCTTTTTTCACAACCTCTGGCCATGGGAGTTTTGAAAAATAGCTCAACAGATGTTCCAAGGAGAAGTATTTTATCTATTTCTTTTCTGCTTCCTCCTTTGTACAATAACCTATATGGTCACATTAAATACTGCTTGTGCTCTGACTGGGTGCAGTGGGGAGGTAGGGTGTTGAAGAAAGTACAGACTGAAACAGGAAATCCTAGGTGTGCAGTGAGTGTTAAGAGTCAGATTTTTGTTTTAAAAAATAATTCTGGGCAATAAGTTTTTCTAAATTACAAACTCAGCCAGTAAGGCTTTTAACTGCCCCAGTCACTCAAAGCTGCATGACTTTGTGGTGAGCAATTTTTTATACATGTACACCAAAGAGAGTCTGGTAAGATTACTTCATTGGTGGTGTGAGTTTAGCAACACATGGTAGGCAACTCAGATATCATACTTTTTAGGTAATTAATAGAGTAATTAGCCTATAGAAGGGCCATGTAAGCAAGGTAGCACAAGAGTCTATGTTAGCTGCTATTCATGTCACATATGTAATTGGGACATGGAGACATATGTTTTGACTACATCTCCAAGAATGTCCCAAGACTTGGGAGTAATTACTCTCTAGGAAAAGCTCCCAGGATTTCATTTTTCCCAAGGAAACTTGTGCCTAAATGGGAGAGGAATTTCTTCAGGAAACCTCAACTCTGATGGCAAAGAGATTTATGGGGAAGGGGGAAAGTCATCTGCAGAAAACACACAGAGCAGCACCCATTACAGAACAGGGAATGAAACACTCAAAACCCTTTCTGCTGGCTATGAAAAATAATTTGAAGGAACTGAAAAACTGAATTTGGCTTTAACAGGATGACTGAATGCAAGCAGGCCAAAAAGAAATGACTGACGCTGCATGTGAAGGAGACTTAAAACTCTGAGATTAGAATGAGGAATGTTTCCACTATTCCACCAGTGATTGTTTTCATCCCAACAAAGTGTTTTAATTTCAAAACATATACTCTTAGGCTACTTTATTAGCTTGGTGCAAATGGAGTTCAGACAATTTTTAGACGTTCTTAGTTGATCTGGAAATTCAAGCTGACTAGGGTATACTTACTTCCAAAATAGCATATAACCCAGAAATTCATGGAAACCACAGGATGGGGAGAAAAGTTAGCTACATATAAAATGACCTCAGTGACCAGAAGCAGACCACATAGAGATGCTGTTTTCTTCTGGCCTCTGATAGCTCTTGATCGAATGCACACTGTCCTTGAGAAACCCAGTTTTCTGTGAGAGGCCTCCTGATTCCCAGGGCATTCTATTCAGAGTTATTAGACTAAAGCTGAAGACAATTCTTCCATTTCTGCCCTCTTTCAAGGGAAATAGAGCCAAATCCCACATCTATACTGAAGACTGGCCAAGGTATAAAACATTAAGCAAACCTAGCCCCTAGGGCCAAATCATCTTGCGTCCCTGTATGTCTTACAGAGAGCAGAAGGTTTGCAAAGAAGACAAAATCCTTCCTGAACCCGAGGCCACTGAGCAAGCTGAGGTCTCAAACCGGAAAGGCTACAGGCTCATATCCCATCGCACAGCATCTCCCACACCCAATACCACAAGAAGCAGCTGTAAAACATGTTTATTGGACAGAACAAAATCCCAGTGATAATTTAAAAAAAGGATGAACAAATCTTTTAGATAAATAAATAAATCTGTTTTTCCCAAAAAATTCCATTTCCTTAAAGACCAAAGGAATTGGGCACAGAAATGAAAGCACCCCACTCCCCCCTCCCCATTCCCCTATGCTCTGAAGCCTCAGAGGAGGCAGAAGCACATTCTGAGGTGACAGAAGAATTCATATAAAAATAGTTAAACTGAATTGTGTGCCCTGCACAAACCAGCTTCATAATATACAAACTGGGCATTTAGAGGATTTCCTACAAAGTTTCAGAAACAATCTTGGTCCAAGTTCTTGGAAGAAAACTATATTCTTTTAAAGAAAATGAAAATATTCTCAAAGGAAAAAAACTTAATTTAAGTCAAATTATGGCCTTTGTCCTGCCATCAGCTATACAATGAAGTTGTAAATACACTTCTTCTGTAGCACAAGGAAACAGGGTCTTCTGTGTGTTCCCTTCCTATACTTCCCTCAAAATCCTTCTTCTTGTGGAGTCTTGATAGCTAAAGTCCCCTCAGGAAGCTGTGCCCTTAGATTCAGCCCCTAGTCAGAGCCACACATACAATCACAATCACTGCCATAACCATATACATGAACCAGGACACACACAGACTCTGCCACTCACACACACCTTAGCCAACCACAATGGCACCTTGGAGTCCAGGAACTTCAGGCTGGGACCAAAAAAGGCCAGGAAAGGTGACAAAGGATGTTGATAAAGCAGTGATAAGGAAGGGACTGCTCCTAGCCTGTAGTGAAGAAGGAATGGACCACTGGACCACCTCCTTTATCACCCCCGAGAAAAGTCTACTTGATCCTCCACATTCACTAGATCAAAGTCTATGTAGGATGCAACCACTCCCTAAGAGTCCCGTCCCCCCCCCATGCCTGAGCTGCTTCTCTCCCTTAACTACCTCCTGCACTGCCTGATTTGAACACTATGTAGTAGTTAACAGGAAACCTAGGAAAAGACATGGGCAAATAACAGCTGGTTTTTCGTTGTTCTGCCAGCACACACAGGCACACTACCCTTCCCAATTATGTACAAGCATGTCATCTGTCCCAACCATACAACATTCACCCTAACCAGGCATGCTTTGAACCACACACTAACACATCACCCTCTCTAGCCACATGCAAACACATTATACTGCAACCGCTACACACAGCACTCATACTCATGAAATATGTTGCCCTCCTTTGGAAGATATACAAACACACCACAATCCCCCAAAACTCTGCAGCACTCCATGCTTCCTAACTCCACCCAGACATACTGTTCCCTGGTCCTGCATACTTCATCTCTCATCTATATCCTGGCTAGAGGTAGGAACAAAGCCAAGAGAGGCCAAGAGGGTGCCTGAAGACAATGCCTCCTGCCTTCCTTGGTCCATCTATAGCACTACTGCCTTGGGCAATGTACCATAACGTGTAAGGGCACGATCCCCAAGAGCACCTCACTCTGGCCTATGGAGCCTGATCCTATCTGGCCATGGCCTAGAGCTCTCTGCCCTTGCAGTCACTAGGCTCAGGGATGGCCTATGAAGAGACATGGGGACAATTACAATTGCAACCTGCTTCAGAGCAGGGGAGAAAAGCTCAGAGACAGTGGGTCTTGAAAGAATAACAATACAGAACCACCACTGGGTAGCAACCAACATGGTCCACTAGACTTCCTGAAAGAAGTGGTCCCAGGAGAGTAATGAAAATTTATACCAAAAAAGGATATTTCCAATACCCAACCTGCCCCCTTTCAGAATCCAGGCATCCTTTCCATCCATCTGTCTGACCTCCACTATCAATGATCCTCTACCAAACCAGGTTGGGTTCTGGAATCCCTGAGACTAGAATGTTTATTTGGGAAGGAAGGTGAAGAGACCACTCAAACTTGAAGACAGAGACAAGCTAAGAGCTCAAAACTCCCACAGGACTGTGGAACACATCCTGGAAGACTGAAGGTGCTCTAACTTGGGCTCCACAGGACCCAGGTCATCCCCACTTTCAGCAATCCCACATGCTTGGAGCCCAGGGTTTGCTGATTCAGGGACCTATGGGGATAGAGCCACAAGGCTGCCACTCTAGAATCAAAAGGAAAAAGTGGCACAAATTAATACATGGCAAGGGCGTATAGGGCCCAGCCCAGCCCTAGTATGAAGAAACTTGTAGGAACTGGTTCCATTCCACAGTTATTTCTCAGGATGTAAAAGCCCAGAAAGAAGAGGGCCATATATGTCTGAGGGGAACAGCGGGAAGGCCCCTACTCTGGTCCAGAAACCCTCCTGGGTGGCAGGTAGGGGAGAGACCCTCACCTCATTTCTGCCTAAAGAAGCACCTGGTTTAGGAACTGAAAAAATTCCCCTGAGCCTAGACCTAAGCTCTGATCACTAAGGTGTCCATCAGAGCTCTGTCATATGCATAGTATAGTTGGTCAGGGCCGGGGTGGGGAGGCGTCCCATGTGGCAGCTTCGACACAGCAGGTGGCCCTCCAAGGGATAGCAGCGGCGGCCTTCTTGATCATTCAGACGAAGCCCACAATCCTGTGGAATGAGATGCACCAGTGCAATATAATCAGCACCCACAACCATTCACCTCCTTCACCGTCAGCCTGGTGCTCCACCCCAGGGCCAGCATTCTGCGTACAAGCGAGGGATTCATTGATAGCCTACAGCCCAAAGATCCATTTACATCCCTATCCTGAGACCACTTCCCACAATAAGTTCATTTCCCATTCTGTTCTTGAACCTACTCCCCATCTTGGAACACATTAAGAGAGGGAACTGATAGTAAATTAAAAGGCCCTTCCCCAAACTCCACAGAAATCCCTTGGACATACCTCACAGTGATAGCATTCCACATGATAATCTCTATCCATTGACACCACCGGATGGTCTCTTCACAGCCCTGATGAAAAAGATACAAGATAATGCACATATGTGTGCACACTTACACAGATAAAGCCATACACGTGCTTCAATAACCTTACAGATACAGGCAAACACCAGAGATGGATGAGCAGCCCCAAAAAGGGCTCAGCAAGCCCTCACACCAGAGGTGCTGGTCCTCCCTCAGCAAATGGGCTAAACCAGGTAAAGGGTAACTGGGGATGTCCACCTCAGGCATGCCAAGACTTTCCCTGGAGGAATGGGCAGAGGAGAACAATTTGTTCCAACAGCCACGAAAGAAGCTGAAAAGCAGGTGCTATGGAACACGCAGAACTTGGTCAGGCTTCCAGTCCAACTGGATCCAATCAAATCCAATTCGTGAGGAAATCAAGATATCGCCTGTGATGTCATTGGTCCCCCCAAAAAACAAAGGATGAACAACAACATAAAGTACTTGGCTAGATTGTGTACAAGCACTGGAGTAATATCATTGGTCCTCTTTGAAAAACAAGGATGAATAACAACATACATGTTTATGGCAAGTGTACTTGCATTTGAAAAAGTTTTATGCACGTCCTTGAAATATTTAGGACAGACTCCTAACCCCAGATCTCACTACCCACTCCCCGTCACTGGCTGGCAGAGATCCCAGCCTAAGAGTATCCAGGTAACAAAGCCGGTGGAATCAAAGTATCTGTATCACAAAGCTATACTGTATCCCTACCTTTGCAGGAAGGATAGGTCGGGTACATGAGGCACATCTGGGTGCAAAAACGCTGAAGGGGAAAAAAAAGAGAAAGATACAGGAACAGGAGTCAGAAGCTGAGGAATCATATGCCAGCAATTCAAAGCTGTCTTCCCTAGGGTCTGGAACCTCAAAGGGAGCCACCAGCCTGGCTCCTTCTTCACAGGGCACCCTCCATCAGTCATATGCACAGCCAACCGCCCTGACTTTTTTTTCCCCATCGCTTACTCACTCTTCCTGCCACACTCACTGTTTTCACCACCACCACCACCACCACAAGACACTTGAGCCCTTTTATTCACTCTTTGGTTTCTTGGTTCTATCCCAGTCCCTTCCCAGGTTTTTCACTTCAGTCTTTTACTTCCACTTGTACACTGACCCCTGTTCCTGTTATTTCTAAATTCAATGATTTATACACAACATCCAGAGAAGGCGATCCATGTAAGAGATACACATATATAGAGGATGGGGCACAGATGGAGGAGAGGAAGGAGAGCCCCATCATATTGATAAACATATACAAAAGCACACAGGAGCTGGAGAGAAGCCCCATCATGTAGGTACACACACCATGGAAATATTTGTCAATAGATAACCAAGCACCTATTACATGTTTGACAACATCAGGGATTCCAAGAGTAGTAGCCCTAGCCTTTCAGAAGCCCACAGTCTTGTTGAAAGAGATAAGAAATAAATATGTGCCAAGTTAAACAACAATTCAATATTTAAACAAGATCTTAAAATAACATAAGAGATGGTGTAAGGTCAAACAGGAAAATTACTACTAATAACACAGAAAAGAAATGTTGGTGTCCAGAACAAGAGGAGGAATATAACTACCATACTCTGTCCTGATTAGACCAGACAGTATTCTGTTCAGTTCTGGGGACCATAATCTAGGAAGGACATTGACAATCTGGACTATGTCCACAAGAGAGCAACCAGGATGATGAGAAGTCTGCAGTCTGGTCCCGTGAGACACAACAGATATTACTGTTCTCCATCCGGAGAAACTAAAACTCAATGACTTGCCCCAAAATCACATACCTTGTCGGGGTCAGGGACCAGATATGAGCCCAGTCCTTCCCCACCCCAAGTCTAGCAGGCTCTCCACACTACCTGGTGATGGAAACTGATAAACTGTCGTGGATCCTGAGGAGGGCACCAGGCCAAGAGAAGACTGATGGCCGTGCTATAAAAGCATCTGAGAAAGCACCTGGAGATATTCAGCCTGCAGAACTGCCTTCAAGCATCTGAAAGGCCATCCAGGAAAAGAGTAAGAACTAGATTGTTCTGTTTGTCCTCAGGGTTCAGAAATAGGAACATGGGATAGACATGAAAGGGAATCAGATTTCTGCTCTTTGTGAAGAAAAACTCATAGTAAATTAGTGTTATAAAAAAGTCGAATCAACTGTCCTGAGAAGCTGAGGAGTTCCCTATGACTAGAGACCTTCCAGCAGAGAGAGGCTGAATGACCATTAGTCTCAAATCACCTTGTATTTATTTATCTGTTTATATGCTATACCTCCCCATAGAATGTAAGCTTCTTGAGGACAGAGACTGTCTTTCATTTTCATCTTTGAATCCTCTATAACTAATACAGTGCCTCATACATAGTGAGTGCTTACTAAATGCTTCTTAATTTGAATTGGATGTTGTACAGGGGTTCCAGCCCAGACATTGGTTTAACTAGAAAACTGCAATGTCCTTCTCCTCATTCTGAGGACATATAGATTTTCCCAGGATATGTTCTGGATATGTGCCTGGCTCAGCCCTAAGCACAAGAATGACTCATTCAGGGTTCAATCCCTCAATAAACAAAAAAGAGAACAAGCCAAGGCCTCACAACAAGAAGGGGAAAGTTGTCTAAAGGCCACACTCAGTGTAAAGGAATCACTTGGTCCAAGGATTGAACAAGGGTGGAGTCAGCAGGCACTTAATAGTTGTGTGACCTTGGGCAAGTCACTTAAACTCCCTAAGTCTCAGTGTCAGCAACAGTAAAATGAAGTGAATGATAGAAACTATTACAAAAGCTTGTTATAATGAAAGTGCTTTGTAAACTGTAAAATGCTTTAAGGATGAGTTATGATTATAATTGACATTGTTATTATAATCCTATCCGCATTGAAAAGAACCAGAAGGCAAAACCTTTAATGCTTCGATCTGAAAAACAGACTCCCAGAATCAGAGATGGTGACAAGGAAGCTAGTAATTACAAACAGGCCAGAGAAATATCATGATGAGCAAAGGGTTCACAATGAGGCAGGGGAATGAGACCAACATAGGCCTGTGCAAGGCCATGTCACAGCTTGGCAGTGGGGAAAGGCCTCAGGGCAGTGGTTAAAGCACGAGATTTTTGAGTCAGAGAAGATGGGCACAAACCTCAGCTCAGTCACTTACTTCCAGTGTGACCCTGGGTAAGTCACTTGACCTCTTGACCTCATTTTCTTCATCTGTAAAATGAGGGGGTTAGATCAGATGACCTCCAATGTCCTTTCCTATGATCCTATGACATGACAGGGCAACATGCCTTTGGACCAGGATCACAGCTGTTCTGGGGCTACACACCCATCACAAGGTCACATAAGTTACAGGATCACACATGCCACAGTATCACACTAAGCTCTTGGCCCCACAGCCTCTAAATCACTCACGTGTGATAATCTCTGACACAGTAAATATTGTTCTCGACATCCACGGTGAAAGGGACGCCATCCAAGCACTCATTACATACAACACATCGGAAACAGCCGGGGTGGTAGGACTTCCCAAGGGCCTGGAGAATCTGGAGGCAGAAGAGACAGAGAAAGACAAATACACAGAGAGAAAAAGATGACACAGAGAGGGAGAAGGAAGGCAAGAAACACAGACATACATTCAGAAACACAGAGACACCCAAAATTACAACAGAAAGACCTAGATCTCTCAGGAGACACCCACACCCCTACCCAGGGAACAGGCTTCAGTGGAGCCCCTGGAAGTCATAGAACAAACAAAGGAAACTTCTGAGAGAAGTTCTATAAGGCCCTGAAGTAGACGACCCAGGGTCTTGGGGGAGGATGAGATGGGTTTTCTTACCATCTCCATGATGAGGTGTCCACACACGAAGCACTTGTCAGCTGTCTGCTGAAACCCTGAGTACTGAGAGTGAGGACACAGAACCTATAAGCAGTCATGTTACCAGCCACTGCTAAGGACCCCCTCCTGTCCTCTCAACAGACCCCCCTCCAAGGAATTCCCCTGTCCCTATTTTCCCATCCCCAGTCATGACAGAGTAGGAGAATAAGTCAGCTATCCTATATCCCTCCTTCTTGTCTGGAGGAGACATCACCATTGTGTCTAACCTTAAAAGAGATGGGGGGGGGAAGCCAGTCCATCCATGACTCATCATCCCCCATTCCTGCTTCCATCAGCATTCCTACCACCATCAGCCTCACAGAGGACCAAAGTCCTAACTTACCAGGAAGTCCTCCTCACAGTAGACTTTCCCAGCTACATTGTAGAAGGCCTTTCCCCGGAGTCTTCTCCCTATGAAGGAGGCACGGGGAAACAAGGAAACAGTCATCAAGGTCAGAGCAAAGACTAGCACCACCACAATACCCTCTATTCCTTCCCTAGTTAATAGACGAGGAGAAAGGAAGAGCTAAATATCTTCATTTCCTTCCAAAACTGATCTGACCAAGGTTACCCACAATCCCTGTACTGCTAAATCCAACTGGCCTCTCCTCAGTTTTCATCATCTTTGACTTCTCTGTTCCATTTGACACTACTGACCACCCTCTCCTACTAGATCTCCCTTACCTTCTATGGCAATGCTCCACTTTAATCTTCTTCCTATTGCTATGTCCCTTCTTTTACAATGCCTTTCAAGAGGTAAATTTGACTTCAAAGATATCACTGACATTTAATGGGATGGGGCCTGATACTGAAATATGCCTTTGGAAGACTAAAGTAGTAATGGACATAATAACGCTAAGATGATAAAGAAATCTAACAACCAAAGGAAAGATCAATGGATACTAAAGTGATATTGTCCGCCCAGATGAAGGAAGTATATGAAAAGTTCAGGAATCACCATAAATCTGGCATGGAGGCATCAGCTAACAAAGATGAGAAACTTCAATTACCTGGACATTTGCCTGAGTTATCCCTTCACCAAGAGCAGAGAAACTAACAGATTTCTGCCTTGCTATGTGACAAATTCATTCTTCAAAAGTGAAGGAAGTATTGAAGGGAACTGCTCAACCAGAAAGAATTGTTGCTGATGTAGAAATGATGGGAACTTAAGAAATGATGAGCAGGGGGACTTCAGAAACACCTGAAAAGATTTACATGAACTGATGCTAAATTAAGTGAGCAGAACCAGGAGAATACTGTACACAGCAACATTGTGCAATGACCAACTTTTATAGACTTCACTCTTCTCAGCAATGCAAGGATCTAAGATAATTCCAAAAGACTCATGATGGAAAATGCTATTCACATCCTGAGAAAGAACTATGGAGTCTGAATGCAGATCAAAGCATACTATTTGCTCTTTTTTTTTTTGGTTTCTTCTTTCTCATAGTTTTTCCCTTTGGTTCTAATTCTTCTTTACAACATGACTAGTGCAGAAATATGTTTAATATGATCATATATATATAGCCTATATCAGATTGCATGCTGTCTTGGGTAGGGGGAAAACAGAGGGAAGATTAGAACTCAAAATCTTATGAAAGTGAATGTTGAAAATTAAAAACAAACAATTTTTTTAAAAGAAAAAACAAAAAAGAAATGATGGGAATTTGGGGAGATAGTGTATGTAATATAGGAGAGGAAAGTTGGGCATAATTAGATGTGTGCCCTAGATTTGAGGAGAGGGGAAAGCAAAGATTTAAGAGAAAAGAGAATTAGAATATATAAAATTCTATAGGGGAAGTCAGTCTAAGAGGGATGAAATGCTTTTATGAAAGAAATTCTGAAGACACAAACCCAAATGATTCTGAGGACAGTTTGGTTTTTGGACAAGCTGAATTTGTGGTGCTGAAGAGGACAACCAAGTAGAACTGGCCTACAGGCACAATAGAGAGATGTAAGCTAAATGAGAGTACAGTTAGAGGGTGTCACAACTGCTTGAATTCACAAGGAGTAATCATGAATGAATCAATGTCAACTTGGAAGGACTCAAATGTCTAACTGAATGTTCCAGGCTGTTGAGTATTTAGGATTAGGCTTGACTCTTCCTTTCCCTCATTTCTCACATTTCACTACAGGGTCATGTCTAATTGTACCTCGACCACATCTCTCACCTCTGTCCCCTCCTCTTTATTCTATCTTCATCTGTAGCCTCCGTAGAATAGACCCTCATTACCATCCATCTAGACAACCGCAATGGCCTCTGAAGACTACTCCTACATTCTATACCTCTAATTCAATCCTCCTATTACTACTAGAATAATCACCCAACAGAGACAGATCCCTGTCACTCCTCTGCTCAAAAACTTTCAGTGGCTGCCTACTTGCCAACTGTGTAAAGTTCTAATTCCCTTTGCCTGGCATTCAAGGTCCTCCGCAATCTGAAACCACACTACCTTCCAGCTTTACCACATATTATTATCATATACAGACTCTGAGCTCCAGGTAAATGGTCTGCTCTTTCTCTCAAGCACACACAGCACTCTCCTACCTTCATGCATTTCTTCACACTGTTCCCTAAGCCTAGAACGTCCTCTCTCCCCTAGTCACCTACTGAACGTCTACCCATCCTGTTAAGCTCGACTTAAATGCCACGTCTTCCACGCGGTCTTCTCTGATCCTCTAGCCAATAACAATCGTTCCCCTTAAATTTTAAGAGACGTTTTGTTGTTCAATCCTCTGGTGCAGTTATGATACACAACATTACACTGTGCGTGTGTCTTACCCTCCTATTAGACATAAGATTATCAGAACAGGGACTGTCAACTTAATTTTGCGCGTCTCCCAACACTTTACACCATGCACTATACCCAGCTGGAATTTAAAAAGTGTTTATTTGAAAACTGTTTTCTGATGGTAGCAAAGAATTGGGAATTTGAGAGGATGCCCATCAACTGGGGAATGGCTGAATTGCGGTATATGAATGTAATGGAATACTATTGTGCTCTAAGAAATGATGAACAGGCTGACTTCAGAAAAACCTGGAAAGACTTGTATGATCTGATGCTCAGTGAAACGAGCAGAACCAACAGAACCCTGTACACAATAACAGCCACGTTGTACAATGACTAATATTGATAAACTTAACCCTTCCCAGCAATACAAGGATCTAAGATACCTCCAGAGGCTTCATGATGGAAAATGCTATCCATATCTAAAGAAAGAACTATGAAAGTTGAATTGCTATTTTTTTTCTCTTCTGTTGAGTTTTGTTTCCTCTTTCTGATGGTTCCTCCTATTGGTTTTAATTTTTACTTACAACACCACTAATGTGAAAATATGTTTAATAGGAATGTAAATGTATAGCCTATATCAGATTGTGTGCCATCTTGAAGAGGGTGGTGGGGAGGAAGGGGGGAGAAAAATTTTAAACTCAAAAGCATATGGAAGTGATCATTGACAAATCAAAATACATTAACAAAATTTTTTAAAAATTGTGTTCTGTGGAATATATGTAATACATGGAATAACACTATAACATAAGTAATGACAAATATGAAGAATTCAGAGAAACTCAGAGACTTGTATGAATGGAAGCAGAACCAATGGAAGAGAACCAAGGCAACAATTAATAAAATGACTCCATTTAAAAACATAAAGAAAGCAACACAAAAAGACATCAGAACTCTAATCAATGCAGTGGCCAGGCATGACTTCAAAGGACTGTCAGGGAAGCATTTCTAGCTCTTCTCAGAAAAGAGGTTATGGACAATAGGTACAGAATGAATCACATGTTATCAAATGGGACCAATGTGCTGCTATGTTTTGCTTAACTACGCACCTTTGTTAGAAGTATTCTACTGTGGACAAAGAGTTATTGGGATATAATAATGGTGTTTTGTAAAATTACAAATAAAGTATTTACTTAGGGGGAAAAAAAAGAAAACTATTTGATGAATTGAGCAAATGAACTCCCACAACCACCCTGGGAGAGAAGCAAGGCAGCAGGGTTTATCCCCACTTTACAGATGATGAGACACATTCACCATAATCCTTCCCCTCAAACTATAGAAGTAATTACCACTCACTCTTAGTTATCCCCACAGTGGTAGCCCAGTGGCCAAGACATCAGCCTTTGATTCATTTTTATTTATTAATCATTAATTAGAGGTATAAGTTCCTGGCTAGGCTTTAGCTTCAGAAAAGAGGAGGATGATTTACCCAGCACAGGCCAAGCCCAGAAATTCACCCCCCACATGGGTACCAAGCTCCTTAGGTTTGGTTTGCCTATGTAGACCGTGTGCCCAGACCAGTCATAAGGCATAGACCAATGGATGCCAAGAGCAGTTACAGGATGGAGAGAGATGAAGTGGACAGAGTGGGAGAGCCCTCAGTCCATCTGGCTGCTGGCCCTGACTGAAGATACATCCTCGGGGACAATATCCCTAAACCCCAAATCCCAAAACTTGGAAGCACGCAGGATGGGCTTTTCCCTTACTACTTCATCCCATTAAATTAATTCCTAGGAAAACATTAAATTTACATTAAAAGCAAATGACATTTTGACAAATGACATTAGAGAATGACAAAAAAAGTTGAGGTATATGAATATAGGAATATTAACGTGCTGTAAGAAAGAATGTGAATGCAGAAAAACAGGGAAAGACATAACAACTGATGCAAAGAGAAGTGAACAGAACCAGGAAAACAATATCCACAGTGACGACAACTATACGAATGGAAAGGACAACAACAAAACAACCGAAACCAAACACTATGAAATGACAGTGAAGCTTGGACCCAGAGAAGAGACACGAGAAGGGGGATCTCCTACTTTCCTCGGGAGGGAGGGAGAGAGGGGAGGTGCTATGAAATACTGTTGAGAACTCAGACTCTTTTGACGTCTTGGTTAATTTTGCTGAACAATTTTTTCCTGTTTGTTACAAGGGATGATTCTCAGGGATGGGAGTAAGGAACATACAAAGGGAAATGTAAATTATACAAAAATAAAATATATTAACACAAATTTTTTAAAAGTAAATAATCCAACAACTGATTCATGACCCCAGTACTTATTGTCACGTTTGGCCTCAGGTCCTCTGCCTTCCCAGAAAAAACCCAACCCTGACACTGCTGTAAGGAGTGGCATGGCCAGCAAAGCCCATTCCCTCTCTCTAGCCACTCCCTGCCTTCCCATGCCCAGCTTTTCCCACACCTCCACTTCCACCATACTAACTCTCTCAGTGTACACTCCTGCTCTCGCTGGTCCCCATCCATAGCAGGCCTAACCCGGAGATTCTTGCTTCACAGGTGATTGATGACTATGCAGCCAGGAGGATGGACTCTTCTGAAGGACCCTATCTTCCTCAGCAGTCTTTCCATGCTCCATAAGGGCTATAAAAATTATCCTACCCATTTTTTTTGGACTACTCTCTTTGCACACTTTCTCACTCCCTCTGACTTCCAGAAAGCTACCAAAGCCACCAATGAATGGGTATAAGAGGGATGGGAGAAAATCCCCTTCCCTCTCTACCAAACTGCTGGAAGCCCAAGATAAGGAAAGCATGTAAAGAAAGAGGAGTCCAAAAGATAAAAGTGAAGCTGTTTCCACAACCCTTCTACACCACTAGAAGTCCTCCACTAGAGTCTATCCCACCAATGCCCTCACCAGTCCTCTTTGATGGAACCCCAGTCACTTCAGACCAATCAGGAGTACCCTGCTACAGTCCTCTCCATGCATGTCTACGTATCTCCCACTCGTAAATCCATGTCTTTTATGTAGGTGTCCCCATGTCCTCTAGTTGCATGTCTGTATGTCCTTTACATGGCATACCTCCTATGTCAACAAATCAAACGGTACATCTATGGGTGCATATCTACCCACTCTGGTGCACCTGTGCTGGTATCTGGGCTAAGTGCACCTACCGCAGGAGTAGCAGGTGAAACAGTTGGTGTGGTAAAGGCTCCCCATTGCCTGGCAGGCCTGACTTGCACCATAGATGCCCATCCTGCACTTTATACAAACTCCTGAAGGAGGAAAAGAAACAGAATATTTAGTAATTCATGGCAGATCACTTAACCTCCCAACCCCATGGCCCTGCTACATGGCCTCCCATCCCTGCATACATGTCCTCATTTTCAAAGTGTAACAGATTCAGTGACATATATGACCATCACCATAAGAGTCCAAGAGTCAGAGCTCTCAGACCTGGGGCCTGAGACAGAGTCAGGGCTCTCTTTCCCTCGGGCATTCTATGTACCTCACTCCCAGAGAAGCACATCAACCTTATCAGAGAATTTCTACATTTGAACCAAGAAACTCCATCACCCCACCTCCTAGCCTAGGAAAAGATCATTCTTTGGAGAAACAATATAGTTGAAGAGAAAAAGCATTAGACTTATAGTTAGAAGACCTGGGTTCGAATCTTGGCTTGCTAGGAGTATGACCACTTCACTTCTGCTCTATGGTCCTCAGTTTCCTTATCTGTAAAATGAGGATCAGAATGCTTGCTATCTACCTTACAGGGTTGCTGTAATAAAATCACTTTGTAAACTATAAGTGCTATATAAACATAAAAACATTGTTATTATTTGTTAATATTCAAAATTTATTTGGAATTTATCTATCTACCTCCACTAAGGGCAGCTGAAGTATAAAAGGAATGGTGTGGTTCCAATTACAGCAGGGGAAATATTCAGGCAAGAACTAAGACCTCTATTATATATATATTCTAATTTGTATTATTGTTTTTTGCTCAATCCAACAAACCTCTATTGAGCATCTATTATGGGCAAGGAAGACAGGATGGTATGATGGAAAAGGTCCTGGACTGAGTCAGAGGGACCCTTAGGTTCTAGTCCTGACTCTGCCACTAACTACCTGGGGATCTTTAGAGTTAATTTCCCTCCCTGGGCCTCGGTTTAAAATGAGAGGATTGGACTAGCTAATGGTTAAGATCCCACACCCCTCCTCTAAGAAGCTTTCCCTGTCCCCTCCTTGCTCAGCCCCATTAGAGTTCAAACAGAACCTCATGCATACCTCTCTCAAACTCCACACAATCTACCCTATACAACAGGTACACATTTGTGTCTCCTCTTTCTCCCCCCTCTCCCAAATCTGGCTGGGAATTCCACAAGGGCAGGTACTCCATCATATTCATAGGATCAAAAGATTTAGAGTAGAGGTTCTTAACCCGGATCTGGGAATTTGGGGTTTTTTTTAATATGCTGATAACTACATTTCAATATAATTTGTTTTCTTTGTTATCCTATGTATTTCATGCATTTAAAAAAATGAAAAGGGTTCCATAGGCACCACTAAACTTCCAAAGGGGCCATCACATACACACACACACACACAATTAAGATTTATAACTGATTTATAACTAAAGAAGAATTTTCAGAGAACATCTAATCAATAGGTGGAAGGCTGATCTTGGAATCAGAAAGACCTGAGTTCAGATTCTCCCTCTGATATATACTAGCTTCCATTTTTCAGCATGGTACACCATCCTCCCTCCAGCCCAGCCTCAATGACAGACGTCTACAAGAGGTCATTATGGTACCATTCCAAACTCTAAATTCTGTCTGGGACAGTTAGTGGCAAGAAAGCACCAGAGGCAGACAGAATCCTCCCCACCTGGCCTCCAAGGAACACAAACTCCCTTTCTTCCCAGGGTAAGGAACAACTTAGTCCAGCTCTACCAAAGAGCTATCACAAGGACAGGATGACAACTTCCCCAGATACCCCTCCTCTCAGCTCTTTACTGGCCCAGATCACAAGGAAATGTTCCTTGAACTTTCTCTCTCCACCTTAGAGTCCCCATGACCCCATTAGTTGATTATACCCAAAAAATGTCTCTTTCTCATACCAACAAGATCGAGGATTGATTGGCTCCCCCAACGAGTTTCTTACTATCACAAAGCTGGCCCTGACGTGAAGTCCTTGTCCATGACATAGGCAATGCAGCCCCACCCACAACATCCTGTAAACCCAGTCCCTGTCTCAGGCTATTAGAACAGGAGACAAAAGAGCATCCAGATCATCAAAGGACTCAAATAGTCCCTCCAACTTGCCAGTACAGTCAGTCTCTGGGGAAGTGCTGACCCCAGCCTATCGGAGAAGCTTGCTCCCATAAAATACCCCCCAAATCAAACAGGTCAGTCAATCAACAATTTATTTACTAAGTGCCAGGCATTGTACTAGTCACTGGAGACAGAAAGACAAAAAGCAAAACAGTCCACGCCCTCAAGTAGCTTACAGATCCAGAGCAGCAATAGTCCAATAGAGCAATGGACCTGAAACTAGGAAACTTGGATTCAAATTCTGCCTCAGACGTTTAATAGCTATGTCACCATAAACAAGCCCCTTAACATCTTAGAATCTTAGTTTCTTCATCTGTAAAATAGGGATAATTACTGTACAATTTACCTCATAAGGCAAACAACATACACGTGTACAGGTATATTAGGCACATCTAAAGCACTATGGCTAGGCAGATCTTCCCTTCTTCACCACTGTAATAATACTTTTCTCTTCTTCAATTTATATAAACATCTATTCACTGGTATTAGACTCTAGGTTCCTGAGGACAGAGACTGCTGTGCATATTTGCACCTTCAGAGATAAGTGAAAGCTCAGCTGGGATAGACAACGAGGATAAATGTTTGTTGAACTGAATTAAATCTCCACCTCCACAGGCCAGAAACCCCCATCAGGTCCCACCTGAGAAGAATGTGTGAGAGGTAGTAAATCAAATGTTTGGGGCAGAGAGAGACCCCTAGTCCAAGGAAGAAAGATCCAGGGAAAGGTACACAAGGTATACAGTGTCCCAAAAGTCTTAGTGCAGTTGTAAGCTTTAGAAAACTGCACCGAATGGGGCAGCTGGGAGGATAGAGTTCCAGTCTTGGAGTCAGGAGGACCCGAGTTCAAATCCAACCTCAAACACTTGATACTTACTAGCTGTGTGACCCTGGACAAGTCACTTAACCCCAATTGCCTCAACAAAGAAAAAGAATAGAACTCAATAAAAAAGCATGTCATTCTTGGATTCCATCTATGGAAGCTTGATTACAACATCGCCAAGTAGTTCAAACATTCTAGAAAACTGCACTGAGACTTTTGGATCACTGCATATAGCTCATACTCTCTTTAAATAAATCCAAAATATGAAAATCCAAATTTGCTGACAGCCTGGAAGTGATTCTACAGGGATTCCCCCAAATGGAATTGCAACTAGTACATTTGACAAGACTGGATTTGCAGTTTTCTAAGAACATCAGTTGTCCAATGTCCTAACTGGCTGTGCATATATATGTGGTTTGTGAAATGCAAAAGGTCAAGAAACTGAATACAGCAAGGTCCCAGGCAGGTACACCAGGCTCACTACCTCAGTGATCTTATACTGCTCCGTCCCTGGAGTCTCATCCAACTAACCAAGAACTCCTGTCAGTTCTACCACACAACATCTCTTTCATCTACTCTTCTACTCACATGGTCAACTACACTATTTCAGGACCTCATCACCATTCCTCTGGACTACTGTAAAGATCTCCCAACCAATAAATCCCTCCTGACTCCAGTTTCTATTCTCTTCAATTCATCTTACAGGCGCTAAATTAATAATCTTCCTAAAGCATAGGTATGGCCATGGCACTCCCCTGTTCAAAAGCTTCTAGTTGTCTTTCCTTTTGCCTATAGGAACAAATGCAAATTCCTTAGCCTAGCACTTAAAATCTTCAACTTTGCCTCAACTTGTCCCTCTTGTCTTTCACCCACAAGAAGCAGGGGGTGGGGGAGAGTAGTGCAAGAAGGGATGATTTTTAATGTAATTTGTTATAATTTTTTTTATAAAAACAAACTTTTAAAATCAGAAAATTCTGTTCTCCACGGCACTTAGAGATTAATTTCGTGATGTCCTATGTGCTAAAAGGTGGAGGAGGGGCCAGGAACTGACGGGACCCAATTTTCAAACTTTTCTCAGTAAAGTGCAAATAAATGCCTTTCTCAATCTCTGCCCTCAATCTCCCCTTTCATGCACTGTAACATCCGACAGGATTGATCTTCCCCACTTCCCCCACCCACTCACCCACAATAACTTTCAGCTTGAGCCTCCCGACCTTTGCCCAGGCAATTTCCCATCCTCAAGCTCTTCCTCCTCTCCTATACCTACCCAAATCCTGCCCACTCTTGAAGGCTTACCTCAGGTCGCAGGCACATTCCCCTGAAGCCCACCCTCCATCCCCAACCCTATCTCTTCTTCAGGACTCCTACATCACTTAAGGACCAGGTAAGGGCCAACCCAGAAACAGCAAGCAGTCTTGCCTTTCCAGCCAGACAGTGTTCCTAGGATCAGGACCCAATCTCTTGCTCCTCGTGTCTACGCCTCCTGCCCCGGCCCCCAGCCAAGGGCTTGGCAAACACCTCCAGCAGAAACGAAGTGAGTCACAGGTCACTCACCGAAATACTCCTTCTTCGATCTCTGGTCCAGCTCCCTCTCCAGCTCCAGGGTCAATGCCTCGAGCCTCCGCTCCACGGGGCTAGGGCCGCCCTCCCGGGCCGCGGTCACCTGGAAGGGCAGCTGAAGCCGAGCTCCGGCCGCTGGCTGGGCAAGGCCAGCCGAGCCCGAGGGTGCGGGGGCTGGTGGCAGCAGCAGGTCGGCATGGGCACCCGCCGAGCCCCGGGAACTCAGGCTGGAGACGCTGGAGCGGGCGCTGCCACCGGCCACGGGGCCTCCGCACCAGGCGGGGCGGGCGGGGGCGGCGCCGAGCCGGGCCAGCCCGGGGCTCGCAGCGTCCAGGGGCTGCTCGGATGGCCCAGGCCCCCGGGGGTCGGAGCAGCTGGAGCGCGGGCTGCCGTGTCGCTGGTCGTAGCCCAGGCTAATGCCGCTGGTGCGAGCGCTGCAGGGTCGGCTCCCGCAGCCCTCCGAGTCCGCCAGGCTGGCCCCACGGGAGCTGCCCGCGGCCTTGGCGCTAGGCTCCGGAGAGGGGACGGTCAGGCGGGCGCCGGGGACCTCGTAAGCGGCCCGGCGCTGGCCGCGCTCTAGAAAGCCGCCGGGCTCTGGGCAGCCGCCGCCGTCCACCCTCCAGGAACGGGCGGGGGCCGCCTCCTCCGGGGGCACAGGCCGCTGCCCTTGCCGCCCCCGGCACCAGCCGTCCGAGCCCGGTTCGGCCAGGGACAGATCGGCCAACAGCCTGCTGGCGCGGAGCAGAGCGGCCGCGTCCGCCTGCGGGCGCTGCATAGCCCAGCCCCGGCCAGGTCCCCGGAGCCTCCCCGCCCCGGGCCAGGCAGGCGCGCGGAGCGCGCAGGGTTCCGGCTCCAGCTCCTGCTCCTCCCGGGAAGGGGCTCCGGCCGCACCGCGGCGCCGAGTCGTCACCTCCGCAGCCTCCTCCTCCTGCCGAGGCTAAAGCTAAGGTTGAGGCCGGGCGGCGGCGGTAGCTGCATCGTCCGGGCCTCAGAGCCCATCCGGCCCGGGCCCCTTTGGAACCGGGCGGCGGTCACTGGGCGCGGGGTGCCCGAAGCCCAGCCCCCCCAGGCGAGGCGCGGTCTCAGCGCAGCGACCAGCCCGCGGCGCGGAGGAATTTGGACTCCCAAGTTTGGTCCTGGATGTCTCCCCCCCGCCCCTTCCTCCCCCGCCCCTCTCCTTCCGCAGGGTCTCGGGGCCCTGCTGCGTCCGGAAAGAGGAGGGACTCCTTTGCGAGGGGCAGGAATGCGAGGAAGGAGACGGGGCGCTACGGCTCTGGAATGTGAAAACTGCTGTAAGGGGGTGACGGTCCCGCAGTAGGGGGCGGGATGGGAGGTGGCGCACTGGCCTGTCTCAACTTCTTTTTCTCTGGGACAGGCCATGCCGACAACCCTAGACTTTGGCTTGTCAACGTGAACTTCTGCTGCTTTGCCCACTAGAGGAGGAAGAGGGGGCAGGCTCCTGCCACAGAACGTTGGGTGTTGTTAGACAAGCTGCGGCTGTGGCGGGAGCTGGAGAGCAAGCTTGCATCTATGCAGATCTGCCCAAGCTAGTGACCAGCGACCTCCCGGCAGCCCGACTGCATCTTCTCTTTGACTCCAAGGGACTCCAGTGCCTCCCTCCTGCTATTTCGGAGAAGGAAACAACTGACCCATATTCAGATTTAACCAAAGAGTGAGAAAAACTCTGGATAAATCGGTTTTCTTCCCTTCCCCACATCCAGTAGCATCTTTTCTCAGGCAGTTCTCAGCCCGCCCCAGGTTAGTGTTTTCTTATCGCACCTCACCCATTTACACAAATTTTAAATTAAGTAAAACTTAAAAGGAACTTGTTGGAACATTCTTAATTATTTCCTCAGTCACAGTTTGAAGTTCTGTAGAAATACCTGGCTGGTCCTGGGAGCCTCTGGCTAGGTCTCCACAAGTCCTTATTGTACAGGCCTGGCATATTACCCTAGTGTCCTCCCGAAATAGTAAATATAATGGTCAGGAACAGAACACTTAATGTGACCCATGAGGCCTAGGAAATGTTTCCCAGCAAGGATGTGTCACAGAACTGTGGACAGTGCACCCAGGTAGGAGAGCCTCTCACCTCAGAAGCAAAGCCAAGAAAGGAGAGCTTGGTGACTGGCGGGAGGGGTAAATGTCAATAGCAGGCCGAGGTATTTATGAAGAGGCCTGAATCAATGCCCCTGTGCCACCAGTTTGCCCTACATTTGAAGGCTGGGTCAGGGCTAAGCCATCTGCCTTATGCACTGCTGCTGCTCCTTTCCCTGCATTTCCAAAGACCAACCTCTTCTAGAGGTAAGGTCCTCTCTGCATCCTTACTTGCATGGAATTTTTAACCAGAAATTTGTGAAATATTGCATAATAAAGCCTGTTTTCTGCAGCCATGCCCTATCTACTCAGCAAATACAAGAGAGCCACAAAGAAAACAAAGGTAAGTATGAATAGAGAAGATAGAATTTATCCTTTGTAATCACAGAATCTGAGTTGAGAAAAAGCCTGAGGTCTACTCCACCTCTCACTGAAAGCATGAGCACAATATCCCACCACAATATCCAGTCTCTGCTTGAAGATGGGGAGCTCACTATTCAATTTAGCCTATTACATTTTTGGAAAACTAATTTTCAGTAACATTTCCTTTTTGAGCCAAATCAACCTCTTCATAACTTCCAATTGTTGGTCTGACAGTTTTGCCCAGCAAGGAAAAATATGGGCAAACATCTAAAGCCAAAGATTTGTTGTGGATTTTTTTTTTAAGAAAAATTTTGCATTTAAGGAATATAATCACAAATGTAGCCCAAAGAATTACATTTGACAGCAGGATATCTCTATTATTGTAACTTCCAGTACAGTAAAACTATAATCATTTATACTAATTAGAAAAAGGCGAGACCATTAGTGACATTTCAAAAGAAATGCAATTTTACTCCTTTCTAGTCCAAATCATGCTAACACCTTTGCCACCTTCTAATAGATTTGCCTACCAGGAGACACAACTGAAAATTCTTTGCTTTAATTCAATAAATATTAATGTCTACTTCGTGCAAAGTGCTTCAGCATCTAGCTCAGCACCTTTCACATAAGGACCTAATGTGTTTTGAGATGTTGAAGGTAGAAATATAAAAATCCTTGCCCTCAAGGAACTTACATCCTATTGAGGGAATACATGTACACACATAAGTACAAGGTAATTTGAGGAGAACCAAAAAATTGGGGGGACTTAAGGGAAAATTTCTCAGAGGAAGTGCCACCTAAAACGAGCCCCAACAGAATATAAGGACACTGAGAGACAGAAACGAGAGTACATTTCATGCATGGAGAATGCCTTCTGAAGGCAAAAGTGGGAGAAAAAATAACAAGTTTGGGAAACAAGGAGTAGTTAACTTCCCCTAGAACAATGAATATGGAAAGTAAGATATAAATAAAGCAGGAGAAGTAGCTTGGAACTAAACTGAGGAAAGTCTTAAATACCTGGTTGAGGCATTTATATTTTATCCTAGAGACAATAGAAAAATGAAAATTTTTTGAGCAGGGAAATGACATGGTCAAATCTTAGGAAGATTATTTTAGCAGCTGTGTATAGAATGAATTGGCTAGTGGAATGAAATCAGGTAGAATAATTAGAAGGCTATTAAAATAGTAGAAGCAAGAGCTTATGGAGGTCTGAACTAGGCTGGTGAGTGGGGAAAAAAAGGATTACCAAAAATGATCTGGCAGCAGAATCTGCTTGAAAAAAGTTTGGAACATGCACAGTAAATCAAACAAGGCCTCACAGACAGAGAGGAAGGAAAGAAGAAGGAAGGAAGGAAGGAAGGAAGGAAGGAAGGAAGGAAGGAAGGAAGGAAGGAAGGAAGGAAGGAAGGAAGGAAGGAAGGAAGGAAGGAAGGAAGGAAGTCTAAGCAATAGTATTAAATACACTGAAGAAATCTGTGGTCACTTGGTCTCAGGTAGCATATTATTCATTGAATATTTTTAGGTACCTGTAAGAATAATAGGTTGTGGTCAAACCATCTTTCACTTGTGACCCCAGACCCCAAGAACAAGCACAATGATAAATATCTTGTAGACTGACGGGGAGGCTCGTAGTCATCTTGTTTTAGGTATTGGTTATAAATAGTCCCATTTGGACCATAAGACCCTTTTCATACTGCATGTCCTTTGTTCACACTTATAGGTGAAATATCTTTACACAGCTGCCAAAATGATATTCCTAATGCACAGGTCTGATCATGGCACTCCCCTGTTCTAAAACCTTCAGTGGCTGGCTCCCTATTACCTCTGGACCAAATACAATCCTGTCCTGGAAAGAATGCTGGATTTGGAAGAAATTCAAATGTTGGGTTTACCACCTGCTAAGAAATGACCACGTAATTTCTGTTTGAGTTCCTTAAGGTAAAATACAGGGGTTGGATGAAACGACTCCTGCCCAGCTCCAAATAATAGCTAACATTTATTTAGCTTTTAAGGATTTTGAATCACATTAGTTATCTCCTCTTTCACCTTGTTTCACATAAAGAGGTGGCACTTCTTGCTATGGCAAACCCTTTTATATGTACAAGTGATCCCATTTCACTCCATCATCTCCAACAGATTTGCCCCCTTTTCTTTCCACGCTCACTTATCTTCAATCTCTCCCATCAACTAGCTGTTTCCCTACTACCTACAAACATGCCCATACATATGTCCCCTATCCTCAAAACTCCCTTACCTGATCCATCCATCCCTAATAGCTATCTTCACATATCCTTTTGTGGCAAAACTCCTTGAGAAGGCCGTCTATAATAGATGACTCCACTTCCTTTTCTTGCTCTGCAGTCTGGTTTCCAACTTCATGATTCACCTGAAACTGATCTCTCCAAAATTATCAATGGTCTCTTAACTGCCAAATCTAATGGTGTCTTCTCAATCCTGATCCTCTTTCATCTCTCTGCAACCTTTGACACTGTCAATCACTCTCTTCTCCCTAGGTTTTCACACTGCTCTTCTGGGTCTCCTTTCTGATCACTCCTCAGTTTCCTTTGTAGTACCTTCATCCAGGCCACACCCATTAACAATCAGAGTCCTCCGCCCCAACACACTCTCTTGTACCCTCACTTTTTCTCTAATTCATCTCATCCACACTATACCATGGATTCATTTACCATCTTAATGCTGATGAAACCCAAAACCATTTATCCAGCCCTAACCTCTCTCCCGAACTGCACTCTTGCATCTCCAATTGCCTATTACACATCTCAAAACATCCCATAAAAAACTCAATCTCAACACGGCCAAAACTGAATTCATTTTCATTTCTCCCAAGCCCTCCCCCCTTGCCTAAATTCCCTGGTTCAGAGCACCACCATACTCTCAGATCACTCAGGCTCACAACCCAGATATCATCCTCAACTCCTCACTCTCATCTTCCTTACCCAATTACATGCCACATCCTTTAGATTGTTACAGCCATCTGAAATCACAACATGCCCTTTAGATGTATAGCCCCAAAAGTCTTAGGTATAAGACAAACTTCCTCATTATAAGGAATATATGCATACAAAATATCTTGAAAAAAGACAGAAGTCTCAGACTACTGTTAAGCATGTCTTTCTAGAATGTAAATCAACTGTTTTAGCTAACAGCTTAAGAAAAACATTAAAGAGCTAACTTTTTAAATTACCCTCCCATACACAGCTGGGGTTTTTAAACTCTAAATAAAGTTTAGACTTTGTGCAAAAGACACTGATACTAAGTAAAACCCACAACAATGTCAGCATTAACTTGGACTGTACAGGCATGTATAGCAAGTATTCAGATATCATTTATTTGGTCCTTTAAAGGTACAGCATAGGAGTATTTGAGTTTTACAAAACATCAAATATAAATAACCT